TTTCGCATTTATTCTCAACAATTTACTGCTGAACCGCCTGAACCCACTGCTAATAGTTACTTAACCTTAAATGACCGAAGTATTAATCAGCTAATAGATGATATTGATAAAAGTGCTGAAAACATTTCTGGACCAGATTCAGAATTTATACAAAATTATATGGATAATCAACCTGACGATACAGAAGTAATAAATGTATCTGATATTTTATCAAATTATGAAGACACTGACAATGAAAATAATGACAATGAAGATGTTGACATAATTTTATCGAATCATATGACATGTTCAGCACATACCTTAAATTTTGTAGCTACAACTGATACTGCCAAGATTACAGATTTAAGTTACAAAAAAATATCAAGATCTGCCTTTGGTAAACTTTTATCTTTCTGGAATTTGCTAAGCAGAAGTACTGTGGCTTCAGATCTAACTTATAAAATATGTCAATGTAAATTTCCAATACCTGTAGTTACACGATGGAACTCTTTCTTTGATTCCACCAAGAGGTTATTCTTTGCCGTATAAAAGTGATGGATTGCTTCGAACAATTAAAGCTTTGCAAATTAAAAGTGACTGAATGGAACTTTTTGGTTGAATACATCAAAGTCATGGAACCCTTAACCACAGCATTAGATAAACTACAGGGAGAAAAATCATGTTATCTTGGATATGTAGCTCCAACTATTATTACAATAAGACATATATTAATGGAACAAACTCATTTGGTCTACTGTGCAGCATTGTCAAAGGCTATTATAAAAGGTCTAGAAAAAAGATAATATTTTATTTTTGATTTAAAAGACCCAAAAAGTAAGCCATACATATTAGCTGCAGTAAGTCATCCCAAGTTTAAGATGGATTGGATAAAATTGAAACATTGTTATTTTATTGTTTTGTAACTTGTTAACTATAACAGGATGCACTTACCGTTTTGGCAAATGGCTCTAACCTAGCTCAAAAAAAATAGTAAATAAATAAATAATTTACAATTATTAGTATTTAATTTTTACTACCTATGTGTATTATCACCATATTTAGTTATTATTTACTATAACTTCCTTTATTATTTACCTACCTATATACCTAACAATAATTTATAACCGATGGTATTATCTACTATTTTAAATCTTGGTATATAGTATATAATATTATATTAATTGTAAATCTATTAAATAACTAATAAGTCAGTGTAAGGGATCTTAGGTATTCATTTTTAAGTAGTACCATTATTTTTAATTTATACATTTATAAATTTAAAATTAGGCAATAAATAAATTAAATAGGTAAACAAAATTAAAATATTCAATGCTAATAGTTAGTATTTTAAACACAAGGTAAATATGTAATATGTATACTTGTTAGCCAATACAATAGTTGACAACTTAAGTATTTTATTCAAAGTTCACTTGGCGGGGACGCTTGGTTATTAATTAATAATTATACCTACCTATACAATATATTATATTATATTATATATAATTATAAATGAAAATGTAATATAATATTTTGTATTTTTAAAATGTATGCGCTATAATAAAAATATGCTCGGCCTATTTGCCCAACTTTTTAGTTTTTACAAAACAAACATTTTAACCGATTAAAATTCTGATAAACTACTACAATAAAATATATTATTAAATATTATGATTAATGTAAATAAAAGAAAATATAAATAATTTTTCCATACCTATATTATATTTTATGTTTTTATATAGGTACCTACACAATAAAATTATAACAATATCGATTAAAACAAATTAAACTAAAAATATTCAGTTCTTCAATTTAATGTTATCGTGTACCTAGGTAGTCTTTTAAAATGTAAGGAAGAGAAAGATATTAGCCACTTGCAATTTTAAGTCTACAGGCTCTAGGTATAGGGTTCTCGGTTATTCAAATCCTGTATAAATAACGTAGGAGGTTTAATGTTTAGTAAAATGAAATAAAATATAATTGATGACTTCAACCCAGCCCCTATTTTTTAAAAATATTCGTACTACACATTTTATTAACAATGATATTATTATGATTCAGTGACGAAGATGATCAAGAATTTAAATTTAAATTGATTTATAATACAGTAACATATAGGGCATAACTTTTTATAAACTTAAGATGATTAATATCACAACCCAGAAATAATTAAAGGTATCTAATCTTCATAATAATTCAACAGTGTTTTTAAAATTTCTTTTATCTTTCAACTGTGGGAACACTCTTTTTGTATGATGTACAATGATTTGTACGAAATGGAGCAGTTCAAATTCTGGACCTATCTTATTGTGACACATTTTTAATTATTCTTCAGTAATTTTATTATTTTTAGTTTTTACTAATTTTTTTAATCGTGGTATTTAGCTAATAATATTATACTATTTTTTATTATATTATATAATACATATACTACATATTATATATATACCTTAGTAATGTGCATCATACATTTATACATCGATAACATTTTGAAAAAAATATCACAAAAAGTCTCCTTCACGATAGTTATGGTTATCTACCGAGTATACGGGCCAAAAGCCGTTCTCTTAAAAATGATAAGAAAAAGAAAAACAAGCATATCAATTAGTATCTCATACGAAACAAAACAAAAGTAAATACTCCAAATAATAATATAATATCAGTTTGTGTGACAGCCAGTGGCGCAACTACGGGGGTGCTAGGGGGTGCTTAAGCACCCCCAACTTTTATTTAAGCACCCCCAAATTCTTGTCTTTGTAATTTCAAGTATCTATAGTTTAAACGATAATTTAGGTAATTTTATATTTTAAGATTTTATTTTCCGTTATTTTTTCTTATCTTGCATAGATAACATAATTTATATTATTGTATATTTTTACTATCATTGTGAATAGTAGCCAGTAGGCAACGTAATATCGTCATGTTGAGATCACTGGATAAGTACTAACTTTCAACCATGGCTAAATATATAGGTATGATCGCAACTTTGTGATACGCAGGTGTCATGGCCGCCACTGGCAGTGATTTTTATCACTTCGATTTATCAGTTTAACCTATATATTTAGCCATGCTTTCAACAACCTGTGATAACTAATTATTTGTGGCTCGTCGTTACTCGTTATGATTTAAATTTAAAAGTTGTGAATTGTGATAATGTGATATTGTTTGTTGTAAATTTGAAATTGCAAGTGTTTGTTTATTCATAATGTTTAGTATTTTTAGTAATAGTAACAAAAAAAATACTATTCAAAGTAAGTCCGACCATTCAGACAGTGAAACGATTGATGATCCAGGTCCAAGCACGTCAAGTAGTTTGTGTGAAAATGTATGTACCAGTACCCCTCAAATTTTGAATTTAGGACTAGGAGATATAGAAAGTGGACCATACCGCCCAATTTTGGCTGTAAGTACTTAGTACTATCTTAGTTTTATTTTATATAGTTATTAATTATTATGATTGCTTCGAAAAATGTTATAACTTATAGGTACCTATTATTTTGTCTATTTATGAAACATACAATTTAAATAATTAACTTATTTTTTAGTATGCAATTAAAAACACTTATAGTTAACTGCTTAATGCTTTGCATATGCTTAAATGCTTTTAGGCTTATCCAAAAACAAAGTTTGGGAAGCAAAATAGATGTTTTAATAAACAATGGTTTGTTGAATGTGCATGGTTAGAATATAGCACTACATTAGATGCTGCTTTTTGTTATGTTTGCCGCATATTTGGTACGGGTGATGTTGAACCAGCATGGACTAAGACTGGACTTAGTAATTGGCAAAAAGTAAGTTTATATAATAAATAAATAATGATAATTATATAAATAGTAACTTAGGTATTTAAATTAATCATTAAACTTATACATTTTCAATACTATCCAGTTTGCTGATAAATTAAATAAGCACAAATTGTCCAAAATTCATTTAACAAATGTATCAAAGATGGAAGCTTTTAAATCCAGTAAAAAAACTGGAAGTGTTAAATCTCAAGTCATAAGTGCTCACAATGAAATAGTAATGAAAAATCGCAAATATATTTTAAATATTATCGAAATAGTTTTGTATCTTGCAAAACAAGGCGTTTCATTTCGTGGTCACCGTGAAGATTCTGATTCATGTAACCAAGGTACTAAATTTATACTACAATATAGTAACATATAAGTTATTAGTAATT